TCCGGGTTTTTTTGTTTGTTTGTTTGTTTGTTGTTTTTTTTTTTTTTTTTTTTTTTTTTTTTTTTTTTTTTTGCTTTTTCAAATAGTATGAAAAGATTTTTATGATTGAAAAAAAAATAAATCGAGAAATTTGACATTAAGATATTTACATTTCCAAACGTATTTGTCCAAGATACATGTAAATTTAAAATAAGATAATAGCTTTATGGATGGAATTGTTGATTCAGACTTTAATTTTCTTGATGAAAGTCAACCAAGTCAACTTAACGTCGTTTTACTGATTTGAAAACCTCATATTTAATTCAACAACTCGTAAATCGAGAGTTTAATAGGTTTATATATAGGAGTATAAGAACATTGACTTATACTCCTTTCACTCCCGCTCCAATAAAATACCTGGTGTCGGAACTTTGTTAATCGTTTTTCCAGCACCCTTTTTTCCATTAGAGAAAGAATAATTTAATTCATAAGAATAACGCATTAAATCTAGAATATAGACCTGTTTAATGTATATATTTATAAATTTATGCTTAAAGATATTTTAACTGTAGTTGTTTTGTACTATATTGAGCATCATGTGTTCCGGTCATATCATAATGATTCTCAAAAAATTAATGTAATTAAAAATTGCCTAATTTTAATTTTAACTGAAGTATGAGGAGATAACGAACGGTATTCAAGTTAAAAGTCTTTCAAACATTACAAAATAGGAGAAGAGCAAACACGGACTTCTAAAGCATCAGAGTGGGAAAGTCAGTAACATCAAAGCGTACATATTTCTACACTATATACAACCATTCCTCACGACAAATCAAAAACTATGCTTGTTGATATCATGGACATTGAAAAAACTGCTTCTTCAAAAAAAAAAAAAAATAGAAGTTGTCAACAACGAAATACTATATTAAAACATCTCCGGTTCTACGCATAAGTATTCTGAATTTGATATTAAAGGGGTACAGAGATTCCTTATTGACAAAATGTTGTAGTATTCAGAGACGTCTTCCACTACATTGTTGGAATTCCGATAGCTCTTATTGTCCATTTTTATAAGCCAACCTGTTTTAATATTCTTATGAAGCACAATTTATTTAAAAAATTCTACATGAGAGGAAAAAGAACACTTACTGTGGCCTTAAACTCGGCAATTACATGCATCGATGATGCATTATATATGAACATTGACCATAGTTACTTTCATGCCTATGTCGAATCGATATTCCCAGTGAACTTGAAATTAAAAACATCACAGACTCAGCCACATATGTTTCATATTTGGATGTTTTACTGAGTATATCCGATTAGGGACATCTTACAACTAAAATGTACAACAAACGAGATGACTTATACTTTTCCATCGTTAACTCACTTTTTATGTAGTAATAATCCTTTATCACCTGCATATGGATTATACACTTCCCAACTTCTTCTATATTCCACAGCATGCTCCGAGTACGATAATTTTTTTAAACTGAGTCAGGCTATTGACGGATAAGTTGATGTTACATGGGTTTCTTAAACGTCGTTTAAAATACGTTTTTCGTTAATTTTATGGTCGTTATAGTAGCCTTGTTAGCAAATATAATCTATCGCTGGTTCGAATTTTGGATGACTTGTTTCATGCCAACTGTCAGCCAACAAATTACTTGCAATCTGGATATTTTCATCTTTCTGCAATAGAAGTTAACAAAAAGTGTCTTCATGCAGTCCTGATGTCTTTTGTACTCGAATTTGAACTTGGCTTCGCATGGACCATACTGATTTTTTTCTGGTGATTGTCAAATCACATTCATCAGGAAAAGAATTTATATTGTATAGTTTCACATTTTTGTGCAAAGTATATAGGTCACATGTTTCGGTTTCATATTCCCTTTTGTAACTTCCATGTGATTTTTGGATGAATTTTATTGAAATATTGTGGTTTAATGTAGAAAAAAATCAAATTTTAAGTAGCTTTATATATATCAAACATGTCGTAAAAAGAAATGTCCATGTTTAGTGATTAGATGAGATATATTTTTTTTATATCTAGCACGATGTGAGTTTTTTATTCATTGCCAAAACATGGGGGAAACAAAACTTTGCATTATAAAAATATCAAATTTAACAACAGGCAAAAGAAAATTCTATGTTTACTTAATCAAATAAAACACAAGACGTATTATGTAACGATTTATAAGCCAAAAATACAGTGTTAATTGAGAAAACAGCAGTTGATAACAAGAGACTATTTGAATGATTGACGTAAGATATATTAAAATAAAATATACATTTTAAACATGTTAATAAAATAAGAAATGACTGAATATTTTATTCTACTACCTATATCTTGTGGTTTATTGGGTTTCAATATTCAAGAAAATTCATATACAATAACTTGATCTTTCAAAAATAAAGAACATTTATCAACTTTAATTTTACAGATTCAGTTTAGATTCTATAATACCATTCTATAACTGCAATATACCGATAGGTTTTATCACTATAAAACATTGATACAGGGTAACGTTATATTGTATCTTACAAGATGCTTGTAACTGAAACATTTTAAAACATTAATTCAAAACAGTTTTACATTATGTAAAATTTTGTCTTTCCCCGCAAGCCAAGGATTTTAGGTCAACTTAAAATGTCCAAAGAAACCTTGCCTGTCGAAGATGAATATTTCCGTAAATAGCAAGTGGAGCGAACTCGATAGAATAGCGTGAAAGAAAGGAGATGATTCCAAAAGAAAGGAGAGCATTTCAAAAGAAAGGAGAGAAAGGAGAAAATTTCAAAAAAGAAAGGAGAACATTCCAAAAGAAATATGTACCGAGGTATAATCTACAAGAAAATTTTTGTGTGACATCTTCCCAGTCTAACAGACCGCAGTTAAAGTTAAGATTTAGTTTTCACAAGGAAGTAATAATGCATGTATAGAAATATGGTACTTTTTATTAAGGAATTGCAGTAGGCTCACCAAGTCCGTAACAGAAATTCAATTTATAGTTATATTCGACGTCATGTAACGTCACATTCCCTACTGTGTCTCATGCAGTTTGAAGTTATAAGAGGCAAATGAAGGTAACATACATAAAGACTGTCCTCGCTATAACGGTCACACCATAAAACATGTTAAGTAGGGGAATCTCTTGTTTTTGACTCACAGATTGTTTTTAAAGCTATAAATACATATTGCGAATACTTCTTGTTTAATAACATCAGATACATGTATGATACTCACGTATAGTGTAAAATATTCATGATGGCATAATAAAGATATGAACATCTTCTAGCTTTTATTTTTTTCGAACTTAATAAGCTTTCTTAAAACTGTGTCGGATTTCTACAATTCTAAAAAAACAACAACTTTCTTTGTCTACAAAATACATGTATAATAATTGAACTTAGCCTCAGTTAGCATTTACCACTTTTAGTTTGTCTCCGACATCTTAGATATGTTCGCTATTCAATAAACATAAATGGGTGTATAATACAATTGAAATAAGCAATGAAATAATGTATTTGTTTGGTAGAACACATCTATTCTCGTTATTGTAGGATTTCGTTGTTTCAAGTAAAATGTACTTTACACCAATGTAAAGCAAAATCATGTTTTAATTAATGGTCAGATCTGAAGGGAGCTTTTCAGATTTGGAGACGGGGACGGATACTCTATCCTTATAAAATGACAGTTTCTATAAATACTTTTACTAAATAAAATGATTTTCAGATCCTTCCCATAAAGAAGGAAAAATAAAAATTTCCCCCAATTGTTCATCACTCTGTCTATGTCATTTTACCCCGCAGGTATAAGATAATTGTGGGATACAAATTAATTATCTATCAATTCTCACTCCAAATATTAATGAAGGTCTATGTTAAAATTTAAATAATATCAAAGTGTGTTTGGGAGTAATGATATATTAGAGAGGTTTAGCAAGCTCACTTGTACGTGTACATGTACGTGTAAACTACAAGTTAGAATTACACGTACACGTTAACATTTTTTTTCTTGTTTAGCAAAGTATAACCTGTACTTGTACTTGTAAGTTTTTAAATGTAAAAGTGGTTTACATATAAAACTCATCCGCAAAAGCAATAATTTAATACGTATATCACCGTTCTACATAAATATATGCATGTACTTATGAGAAAAAGATTGTACAGAGTTCTTATATTTTTAATCGGTCAAGTCTTTTTTAGAAAATCTAGATGTTGTAATTTTAACTCCCTATAAATTAATATTTTTCAATTACTGACGTCCATTTCTTATATCGGTATCTGCATTAAATATTCAGGTTTCAGAAAAACGCACACTTTTTGAAAAATAAACAGCAGTTAAAGAATTATAAGCTACAAGTTTTAGCTTACGTGTACTTGGCAATGTACACGTAATTTGCGTAAGAAGATATGTGTAGAAATTCGTCATTAGCAAAAGTGATGACGTAATGCACAGATTTCTGGTGCTACACGTACACGTACGCGTACACGTTGGTTTGCTAAACCTCTCTATTCTTAAGATGCATTGACTTTGAAATATGATGCTTAATTTTAAACAAAATCAAAATAACCATACTTGAAGAAACAATCTAATGAATATATTGCCAAGATAAAGATTTTGCAAATATGGGGTTGTGGATGCTATACCCAGTACGAGTTCTACCTTTTTCGCCTAATAATTCTATTGTCCCCTCTTTGAACACAAACATTTTATGGTCAAATTAATGTGTCTTTAAAACAAGGCACTTAATTTGCATTGTTTCAGTCATTCCAAACAATCTAGTTTCAAATCTTCTAAACATTAAAATTATATTTGCAAGTAGATGAAAAAATTTGTATTTGCTCCATACCTCAAGAACAGATAAATTCTCTAAAATAAAAATCCCTTTCGAAGAATATATTCTTCACATATTTAACAATGTTAATTAATTCAAAATTATTTTTCTTCAATGCAGCTTGACATTTTTATATTACTTCTGATAAAATTGAAGCTGAACTATGTGAAAAGTTTGACCACTTGACAAAAAACATAGATTAAATTCATCTTTCAAGTACATCCACAGAATCTTCTATAACATCAGGGAGAGCATCATTTCGCTGTTTGGTAACCCTTCGTTTGGGATACATGTTCTTCGGTTTGCCATTGCTCATTTTGAGATTCCCATTTTCAAAATGTTGAGGTCGCGTCTCATTCACGTACTTGATTTTTTCATTAGGAGGTGGAGGCACTATTGTTTTCTCTACATTTGGTAGAGCAAGGTGATTTGAAGGCGATAAACATTTCTCTTCCTTCTTCTCTGGAAGGCCCGAAGTCCATTTCTGGGTTCGTCCTGTTAACCAACAAGTCTCGTACTCTACGCCCTAAAAGTTAATACATTTATTTACAATAATGCACCACATATGAATTTTTATTACATATGAAATGTAAAGATAACAGTGTTCATTCTCAAAAGTGATAAAACTTAAACACTATATTTACTAGTATAGGATTATACAAAAATCTAGCCTTTTGTGCATCAACAGAGCATATTTTCCTATGGTAAACGAACGTTAACTAGTTATAATCTCTATCTATAAACTCGGAACAGATCTGCTTCATATTCATCTCCCGACCTTCTTTTCACGAAATGAATGCCTAAGAACTTTTTAAGTAAACGTTTCTTTTAAAGAATGAGAAAACGATTCCGAAATATTATTTCACATTATGAAATAAAATAGTCTAATTTTATCTTTAAAATATTTTCAACAGAAACATGCGAATATCAGGTGTAAATCAGGTATACTTACAAGAGTTATGCCTCTTTTGACTAGAGTAGTTAGTTAAAATAATATTGATATTTTAGACGATGTATAACCAATGATATATCCTTATTAGCTTTGCTTACCTTTACGATGAGCAACCCTGATCTCTCGATGGAAAAGTTATTGAAGGAAATAATCATGTTTCTCATAGAATGTGTGATGTGAATTTTGGACGGATCACATGATCTTGAAAGGCTTCTGACAACTTCCGGTAAATCACTGAGCAACACAAATTGGGGTGTGTCCGTTTCAACTATCCCTGTTGCAGTTGACCCCACATGGGCTCCAATACTTAACTGAAGCATTCGGAGATCTTCTGGGGTACAATCTGAATTCTCCATATGCTCTCTTGTTAGGAAATCTACACACATGTGAGCAGTTTTATTTGCAATTTCGTTTTCGTTCGTATTGATATCACCAATACCCACAACAATCGTGAAAGAGGTCCCCGTTGAGCTGTATCTGAAAGCTGAATACTTGTGAACCAGAAGATCTATGTACGAGCAGACACTGTTGAGTTTCTTGAGTTTTTCTGTTGGGCTCAGTTCTTTGTATTCGTCGTCCCTGCTCATTATCTCTAAGCAGATCACACCTAGAATTTTCACATCTTTCTGATCCAGAGATTCTCCAACAGATAAACAATTGACAATTTGACTTGGAATGATGCTAGACATAACGGTTTCTAACTGTTTCTTTGAAGATTCCAATTCCACTGTTTTCTCTTCTACACACTCTTCCAGATGCTGAGTATATTCTTCCATAGACTGGATGACACTATCCATCACTGATTTTCTTAGCGGATTGTTTCTTTTTAGAAGTTTAAGTATTTGTTCAAAAGATGGTCGACTAGCAGGATTGTCCGTCCATGCTATCTCCATTACCTGTCTTATAGAAACCGGGAGATCCAACTGAGTCTTTGGCCGAAGGTTGCTTGAGCATATTCCATGAATGATTTCCTCCGAGGAAGATGTCCCTAAATGTTCACTATATGGTTCCTCTTGGGTGTATATTTCCTGCAGTAAAATAGCAAAACTGTAAATGTCGGATTGCGTTGTAAGAGCGCACCTATAATTTGCCCTCAGTATTTCGGGTGCCACCCAAAAGTCTTTGCATGTTACATTTTGTTTGGTTAAACTGTTGCTATAGATTTCGGCTGCCACATACGCTGCATTTTCCTTTCCCAAAGTTAGTATCCGGACAAATTCCCAATCACCAACTTTCACTGTCCATTTATTATCGACAAAACAAACGTGTGACTTAAGATTTCCATGTATAAAGTGCTGTGTGTGTAGAAAAAGCATACCTTGACAAATATCAAGAGCTAGTGCAAGTTTAAAATCATTTGTCATTGTGATTCTGTTGTCTTGTAACAAATCAGCGAGACAACCTTTGCGACAGAACTCTCCAATGATATATTTTTCGTCGTCTATGAATGTTAAACCAAAAAACCTGACGATGTTAGGATGGGATATTTTATTTTTAATTATGAGCATTTCTTGTTTCATTGGTTTGGTGAGATTTTGTAGCCTTTTTACTTCTAGCAGTCTCACTCCTATATCGTATCCATTCCACTTGCCAGGCCACTGTAAAACCTTTTCAAGAAGAGCATCGAGTTCTTCTCTCCCCATAGAGTTTTGGGCAGACTGCAAAGACCTAGCGGAACGTGTGAAAAGAGAAGAAGTCCTAGACGTCGAGTTGTTTCGTGCATCTTGATAAAATACAATGTCTTCAATTGGAATAAACCAATCGTTGCTGTTAATCATTTTCCAGTACTTTATCCTTTGATATAATATATATCCACCAAGTGCACCTACAATCAACACGGACAACGGGACAGAGACGGCAACTATAGTTATCCAGGTATTGTCAACAACCTTACCCTCATTTTCAATATCGTACAATACTTGTTCCCAGAGATTCTGTCCATTGCAATATACATGCTCTAACACATCCCTCTTTACACGTGCAACGAGATCAGCACTGAGGGGAGCGAATCCAAGAATCTCACACTCATGTCGAGGAGCAGATTCCGTCAACGCCCAATAGATATAACGAACAAGTTCTTTTCCTGCAACGCAATCTGTCAAGTTTGTTTTGTAGATGAGAAAATGGGTAAAACCAGCTATTGGGTATGCTCCCGAGCTTAGGGCATGTGTAACTGGGAAATTTAACTCTGTGTTTATAGCAGAGAAATAGTCCATAGCTTTCTGCACTGCTATTGTTGTTGGATAAATGTATTCGCCAACATCGTTTTTTATATATGCAGTGTGCACCACCCATTCTGTGACATCTGCTACTGATAAATATCCTATCGAGTTCTCAAACGACAAAAGCAATCCATTTATCCCATCTGTCTGCACGCCATAATAAGTTATTGCACTAGGATTCCAATGGTATGGTTGTCCTGTTGCTTTATTTAACCCCTCAGCAAAGTAACCGTATGTTTCATTCCATGCAGCATTTCCTTCCGCTAGCGCATGTGTAAATAGATCTGTGGAACCGGATTTGTCGGCCCTTGCTAAGACAATAATACTTGCATTTGGGAAAGTGCAGTTTGGATTGTTTTCAATGAAAGTACTGTCATTCCAGTATCTGATGGTGCCATTATAGATCCCTACCAACTGATCCAATGTCAGGTGTAATTGCTGCTCAAGCTGCATGTTATAGCCAACCGCAACAGCCCTGAAAAATACATACAATTACATTGAGTGTTAAAGCTTTAAACTTTTGTCTACTATAAATTATCTAAGCTTGCTTCGCATTAATTTTGAATTTTTTTTACCTTTAAATATGATTACTATCTAAAGTTTTCTATACTGTATTTTTATTCCTTCGCAACGGAGTTGGAGGGGATATAGCAATGCAAAATTGTGTGTTCGTTTATGGGTGTGCTGTACGAAACTGAAGTGAAATAATTTGCATTGGGATCGGAATGCTGCCTTGATTTAAAGATAAGCTCTTATGCCTAGGTCACATTTAAGCCGATGGTCGGGCGACTAAATTTTTCTGTTTTTGTCGGCTGAAAGAACAAGATTGGCCGACACAGTATCGGGCGACACGGAGCAGTCACATTATTTCCTAGGGACACCGATGACTTGGATGAATAACACAAAAAAATCTTTTTTCTTTAGAAATTCGCAATATTTTTTTCATAGATCTATATTCAGATAGGGGACGTGAGTAATGTTTGCAAGGCAAAGTGGCAGAATCTTATAAAATTGTGACTCAATGTTCAAAATGTGTGCAAAATTTGTATGGAATCGCATAAAAACGACAAATGGTGCATATCTAAGCAGCAAAGAATAATTAAGATATCTCTATATCTTACGAATTAATTATTTATGTTATTTCCGTTTAAAAAATTTATATCAATCCATGCATCAAAATTTTATTTGTGTTATGTATCCTTAATAGGTTAAATATTCACAAGTCGGCCAATCGTCGCCCGATCATCGAGCTCTGAGCTACAATTTGATTTTAACCGTCGGCCGAAATTTTCAACACCCTTATTGTCCAACGACGGACGACCGACTTAATAAACTGACCGCCGATGGTCGGACGATGATCGAAGGTTGGTCGACGGATAACTGCAGTTGAAGAAATCGGCCACCGACACATGAAAATTATAACTTGGACCGATGGACACAAAATTGGTCGGCCGACAAAAAAATAGGTCAAAATCGGCCAAGACAATGGCCGATGAACTGACGACTGTCACCCGAAGAATCCCATTTTTGCTTCAAAACCCGTCGGCCGTTGGTCGTTTTTGGAAATGTGACTGGGGTTTTAGCGAGAGGATGCTCCTCCTTGTGGTCCCCTTGTTAACTTTGTATTTGAATGACTTGTTTCTGAGCTAATCATCGAATGGCAACTCAATAGTCCATAGTGAGCAACATATGAAATTACTTCTTTAAGCAAGTTAAGCTAGTTGTAATGGAATGCACGTGACAAATGGTATATATTTTCGTGAAGCAAGGAAAAGATGTTTCTTGGGGTCCACAAATGCCGATATTTTCAAAATAAGATATTCCCCTGAATTTGTGATTTTTAACTTTGTTGTTCCTGAGAACAGCGTATATATTATTTTTAAAAAAATATTGAATTTTTCCATATTCAGTCTGGTTTCTACATCTAAAAGTCCCCTTTCTTATTACAATTATTAGGAATTCATTAAATAGACAAAACTAACTCAAAGGGACACATGTGGCTTTAAATATTATTAATCGACTTTAGTGTGACATTCCAATAATTGTTTACTGCATTTTGCTACAAATATTATCAGCATCAGGGGTCCGGTGCACAAAGGAACTTACGACTAAGATCAAAAACTTAATTTGATTGTAAACTTTTTCAAAATTATTGATAGAGTTTAAAATTACTATAATAGAAATATCTTTCTGCATTACTTTTAAAAAGCTCAAAATCATTTTCAATTTAACGCAAGTAAGAAAATTATGAGAATAAATTTTGGTCTAGTTGAAAGTTTTTTAAAGTCTTTTGTAATATATTTGCATTTTGCCTAGACTGTTTATAACTTATGATATATTAATATTTAAAAAGTTTAAAACGTCATCAAAAAATTTTAAATTTGAACAATTCAAATGCATGTTTGGCTGAAAATTATGTTTAGACCGCATCGATGTGTCGTCTTTTGCAGTATAAACACTGTAAATTGCATCAAGTTGCTGATGAATGTCGGTTTTTATAGCTAAGCGGGGCTATTCCACGGACCTCCCTACACATTTAAACAATGTGATTTTAGTCCCAATAGAGTAGTAAACAGGAACATGATTTTGTTATTGTATATTCATTATAACTGATCAATACATATTACGAACAAATTTGTAATTTAAAAAGGCTATTTTTAATGTAACGAAAGCTCATATCGTCTGCATTCCATACACAGATAAGCAAGCAAATTTTACCTACGGTTTGAATGGAACAGCGTAATCAAGACATGGTAACCTAATTCGTTTCTCTATAGAGGAAACGATCAGCCGTATTTTAGCGATTTTAAAAAAAATGTTGTCGTGAATTGCAGAATAACCTCCTCGGTCTCAGTAAAAACCTCGGCTAACGCCTCGGCTTTTATCTTTCAAACAACATTTCGACTTCGGAGGTTATTCTGCAAAATGGCCCGACTTAATTATATTGAAAGAAAAAAGTGAATTTTTTTTTCGTAAAGCTTTGGTCGTGATTAGTAAACTTTCAGTTTACTGGTTAAGATAGTGAATTGTGGAGCGGGGTCGTATAGATACTTAGATACCTAGTGAAAGTAACTCATCAATTCTTAAATTTACTTATCTTATCTAGTAATTATACCAATATCTAGTAAAACTACTATTAAGGTAGTGATTGTATGGACAGTGAATCTACTAGTTGTCTTCGTGACATTAACTAGTTATTTTTTTACAGTGTAAGGCTATCTTTAAAACTGACTAAAAACTCAAAACTTTTTTCATTCTAGGACACGATATTTTTTTCGTTTTATTCCCCTTATCCCGTCAACAAATATGCTAAAATTTTCAGGAAATTTTTTTCACCTACCTACCGACTCAGCATTGAAAGAATTCATAAACTTCAAAAACGGGCTGCTAGAATTATTCTTGATGCAGCACCCGACGAACCATCAAAACCATTGTTTGAAAAACTGGTATGGCTAAATGTGTTTGAATTAGTCACACTACATAAGTGTATTTCATTGTACAAAACTTTTTATGGTATGAACCCTGAATATCTCCAGGACCTTTTTGTTTTTCATAGCCATGATTCCTATTCCTTACGTTCAGAATTAAATTATAATCTTCGTTTATCAAAACATTAAACAATTCTATTTACAAATTCTATTCAATATTCAGGTGTAAAATGGAATAACCTACCATTACATGTAAAATTGTCACCATCTTTACCTACTTTTAGACGAAATGTAGAAAAAAATATAATTAGACGTCTGTAAATAAATGTTTGAATATGTCCTTTGTGCATGATGTATGAGTATTACTATCGTTTAAAACAATTAATGTCTCCTGAATAATTAATATTGACTTCTTTATTTTGAGTCTATATCTCATTTAGCTGTACATTACATTTAATTATTCATGCATTATCAACATGTTTTATCTTTGTATCATTTTATGTAATATGTTGTTTGAAATTATCATCTTGAATAATTAAATAAAGCATTATTATTATTATTATTATTATTATTAATTTTACCCTGAGTCGGGAGAGGGCAAGAAAATATTCTTTTAAAGATGATCTAAATATGATTTTTTTTTATTTGAAGAAGTGTGTTTATTTCGATTAGAGATTATCTAATATGTACTTTTAGAAAGCAAGAGAGATTTTATCATGTGTTGCACTATGTTTTTTTATTAACGTTGTTCGCTTTAGTTACTGTTTTTTCATCTGAATATTTTAGTCAGTATTTCATTTATCCTTACTTTGACTTTAAAATAATCGTCATCCGAAATATTTAAGAGAGATTTTTATGTGTCACAACTATTTTCTCATAAATAAATTAATCGAACGTTCAATGTCGAAATCTATTTTAGATTCTGTTTCAAAAAATAAATAACCATTGAGTGTCAGGTAGCGACATCAATCTATTGAATGTTTTGTACTCTAAGCGCTCCTCCAACTCATAAATGTTTCGATTAGCAACGATCAAATTCCCATGACAATGTGTATTTTTAGATCTATTTTACCAGACACAAATGATGGAACGCATATTCATTCCAGGACAATGTGTTTTTTGAATCTGTTTTACCGGAAACAGATGATGGAACACAAAGAGGCTTTGAAGTAAAATGGCAAAACTTTGAAATTGTCATAGGTGTAGCAGATTAATCAAACTCGTGATATGTCTTTCCATTGATATGTCTTTTAAGTAAAGCTCAGAAAGAATTTTACCAGTACAGTTTTACAAAAGTTATTTTTTCCTCTTACAGAAGAAATATGCCATTCTACACCTTTTCAAAATAAAAAAAAAAGTTTTTTATAGATTATGTTATAGACCGATTCAGTGCACTTTCCCTCAATACTGAGTATACACAATCTTCAACAAAAATGTAACGGATGTCAAAATGAATAATTTATAATGTAAGAGAAATGAAATGCAGCACCAGAGTAAGTTTCTACAACTATTTTGTCTATTTCTATTTTAGAATACTTCGTATAAGGGTATGAATATTACAAATTTTTTCGCTGTTTTCATTTAAAGAAAAATACAAAACTAATTGCTACAGGATATACCAATTCCCGATTTTGAAGTAATTTTGCATTTAAATTAGCAAACAGAGCCAAGCTTCGAAAAAGATATATTTATATTCTGTACTATTACTATTTATATAATGTCTTTTTTAGTCAGCAGAAAATCAAAGAAAATGATGGCAATTTTTTCTATCGTCCTTAGAAATAAAAAATAAATTATTCATTTAATAATAAATAATAAACATAATGAAATAATAACAATAAATATAACGATAATGATAATTCAATTAATTTAACAAGTAATAATAAACGCCTCGCGGTTTATAATGCGTAAACTGTCCCAATTTATATTATATCGTATAACATAGGTTTAGATAAGCATCATTCCTTAATTTGAATAACTGCAAAGATAACCCTTCTTTTGACACCTACCCCGCCATAACCGGAAACTCTATGACATCAATA